TTCCCCCACCCCCATAACTAAGCTGTTGCCAAGGCCTGTCAGTTTCACTTTTGCAATATCTCTCCAACATGCCCCCTTCAACCCTCTGACACTGACACTACACCAGCCCTCATCACCCCATAGTGGACTATTGTATTAACCTGTTGGTAGGTTTTTGCCTGTACCTGCCTCAAGTCTCTCTCTACTCCAATCTATCCTTCATTTAGTCAATAGTGATTTTTCCTAAAGTACTGGTCCAACCATGTCACCTCCCTACTTGATAAACTCCAATGCTTTCTATTACCTCCAAGATAAAATACAAAAGGTTCTGTTCAGCATTCAAAGTCTGTTATAACTTAGCCCCCTTCTACCTTACCAGTCTCTCCACTATATACTCTATGATCCAGTGACACAAGCCTCCCTGTAGTTCCCTTAATAAGACACTCCATCTCTTGGGTCCAGGCAGTTTCTCCAGCTGTCCTTTATGCCTAAAATGTTTTTCCTTCTCAACTCTGCCTACTGGCTTCCCTTGCTTCCTTTAAATGCCAATTAAAATCTCATCTTCTATAGGAAGCCTTTCCCCAACCCCTCAACAACTCTAGTGACTGCCTTCTTTTAATTATATATTAATCTTGTAGGCAACTAGGTGGCTCAGTAGATAGAGCATCGGGCCTGGAGTCAGGAAGACCTGAGTTCAAATCTAGCCTCAGACACTTATTAGCTGTATGACTCTGGGCAAGTCACAACCCTATTTACCTCAGTTACCTGATCTGCAAAATGAAATGGCAAACCACTCCACCTTTGCCAAGAAAACCCCAAATAGCATCATCAAGAGTCAGACACAACTAAAATGACTGAACAACAATTTATCTTGTATACAGCTTGTTTGCACATATTTTTGTTGTTGTCTCCTCCACTATATTACGAGCTCCTTATGGGCAGGGACTGTCTTTTGCCTCTTTCTGTATTCCCAGCTCTTAGCACAAGTCTGAAATATAGCAGGAGCTTAATAAATGTTATTGACTGATTGACCAAAATATTTCTCAATAGACATTATCTTCATATACTGTATAAAGCAGCTTAGATCCACTTTTTTCCCCCAGTACATCACTGAATTTGTCCAGTCCCTTAAAAAAAAGGCACTCAGTCATTTTTACAGTGTTGGCTGATATTTAAAAAGGATTAACTGAAACAGTCTATGGGGTATACTGTGAATGGAAACTATACATCTTTGCAGCTTTATATCAATGTCATTAACACCATATAGAAATATCACATTGAATATTGATTTTTAAAAATCCCTCCTGATCTATGTAGAAATCTACATATATCTTTTAAAGCTGCCTGCAACTATTGTACATCTTTTAAAATTAAGTTGTTGTGCCCTTAGAAAGATATACCCTCTCCTCTGGAATCTATTCCATTTCTGATCTTGGCTCCTTGACTCAGCTGACGCTAAAGAACTATTAAACTTTAAGTACAAACTTCGTGTAACCCTACTGAATTATTTCAATTATCCATGTCAATAAAACAGAATATGGACACCAATCATCAAGACCCATAGATAATTTGTCCATACAAGTTTTTTTCTAGCTGGTCATATTAATATCCCCATGTCTTATTTTCCAAGGCAAGTTTTCTATTAGTAGTGAGTAAAGGCCATAGTCCCAAGGCAGCTGTACATAGCTTTCAGGTAGTGACTATCTGTCCCTCTTTCACTAACTTTTGAATTCTTCTGATAAATTCAATCCTCAAGACATGAATACCGTTTCTACAGAAGTTAACAGCAATAAAAAAAAACCAATAATGTCTAACTAGTCTTGAGCCAATCTATTTTTCCCAGCTTCCTCAAATTACCTTTTATTTACTTATCTGCATCCTATCCTAGAATGTAATCTCCTTGAGGGCAAGGATCATTTTTTCATTTTTGTCTGTGCATCTCCATTATTATCAACAAGCATTTATTAAGCATTTACCACGTGTCCAGCACTGTATTAAGCACTATAGATACAAAGAAATACAAAAACAGGTCCCTGGACTGAAGAATCTCACATGCTAATGGCGGAGAAACATGTAAATAACTATGTGCATACAAGATAAATATACAAAGTCATGGATGATTAATCTCAGAGGGAAGGCACTAGTTGTGGTGCCTGATCAAGGAAAGCCTCCTGAAGAAGGTGGGTTTTTGAGTTGTGTCTTGAAGGAAGCCAAGAGTCAGAGGGAAGAAAGATGAACATTCTAGGCATGGGGAACATCCAGGGAAAAGGCACAAAGTCAGGAGATGGAGTGTCATGTGCAAGGAATAGCAATAAGGCTAGTGATGCTAGATTGCAGAGTACTTGAAAGGGATTAAGATTGGAAAGTTAGGAAGTGGCCAGTTTATGAAGGGCTTTAAAAGCCAAACATATTACTTTATATCTGATCTTGGAGGTAATAAGGAGCCACTGAAGTTTACTGAGGGGGTAGGGGGAGTGAAAAGGTCAGACCAGGGCTTTAGAAAGATTACTTTGGAAGCTGAATTGATGGACTGGAGTGGAGAGATCTGGAGGCAAGGAAACTAATAAACAGGCTATTGGAATAGTCTTGATAAGAGGTGATAATGGCCTGTACCAGGGTAGTAGCTGCATAAGTGGAGAGGGATTGCAAATGAGGGTTGACACCAAGGTGACCCTTAGCACAATGTCTTGCACATAATAGGAACTAAAAAAATGTGAATCAAGTGGCACAGTGGATAGAGTGCTGAGCCTAGAATCAGGAAGATTCATCTTTATGAGTTTAAATCCAGCCTCAGACACTTACTAGCTGTGTGACTAGCAAGTTACTTAACCCTTTTTGCCTCAGTTTCCTCATCTGTAAAATGTGCTGGAAAAGGAAATGGCAAACTACTCCAGTATCTTTGACCCCCCCCAAAAAACCCCAAATGGGGTTTCAAAGAGTTGGAAATGGCTGAACAACAACAAATGTAAATGAAACCAAGAAATCTGTTTGGACCAATGCCTATGAATAAAAAATGGCCCAGAAAGTACACTAAAACCTGAAAATGTAGCAGGTACTGATAATGTGCTCTAGTCAGACCACACTCACTATATAATATCTTAGGATTGATTCATACCAGCGCTTCCTTTGCCTTCCTAGTACTATTTTTATTATGCCTTTATTTGTTAATTTACCACCAAATAATACACTAAGCAACCACTAGCTGAGTTTTTTCACCAACTAATTCACTACAGTTTTCTTCACTGAGCTCGAAAAATATTTGCCCATGACTTAGTTACACCCCTGTGCCCAGAAGTTTTAATAAAGTGATGAGGCTAAAAGATCATGGAATTCAGCAAACAAAATAACCTTAAGACAAAAGCCTGCCTGGCTCAGAGAGTAATGCTAAAGGACAAGCAAGAGGTCTAGATATATTTTATGTTAAAAAATCTGGTTTTTTTCCCCTTTAACTAAAAATTCACTTCAGTAACTATCTTTTCAAACGGTACTCCACTATTCTAGACAGCCACTATTTGAATATACAAAGCCAAACATCAAAAATGTAGTTCATAAAATTCGAACAGCTAATTTCTACAAACCTACAAAAATTAGGCACTAATGTGATGAACAGAATAGGGAGAAGTACGGGACCTAAGTGACTTAGCAGAAAAAGCCCTGAACATAATAAGTATTTAATAATGGTTAATTCAACCAAACAGATTGGACTTCATTAGTAATAGGGGTCTCCCAGTTAAGGAGATTCCCTCTACCAAAGCAAGTCAGTAACTTTTTTTGCAATTTATAGATAAGTAGCCTAGAGCACAAAGTGGTAAAGTGAATTAAATGCCTAATATCTGAAAAGACTTGGGTCGGTGGTCCTGCCCAATCAATCAATAAACATTTATTATGCCCCTACTGTGGCCAGCACCCTAACCTCTGCACCACACTGCCTTTCGTGGATACTCTATTTAAAAACTACTTTCCCTAATACAGATAAAATTGTATTTTCACATCGAAATACTGACCTACAATTACTCTAAATGGCAAACGAGTATTTAGCAACTAAATTAAGTAATCGTGCTTTGTGCTAAAAATAAGAAAACACAACCTAAAAGTACAGATGAAATAAGTAGGTAAACCATACTGTATATAGCAGATAGGTGCTAAACATGAAAGGTTGGAAATTAGTGTGATTAGCACACCAGGAGGCCCATGCTACTCCCCTCAATACAGTTAGAAAAGGAAAAAAAAAAAAGTTTTAATAGACCATTTCTCACCCCTACACCCCTTTTAAAATCCTCGAGACTCTCAAACCGAACTCAAGAAAGTTGCACGTTCCAGTGGACAAATTGGAACCACCAGAGCAGCTGTCATCTGAAACTCCCGAAAGCTGAGACCAGTCAACTCCGTAAAACAAGGGTGCAGAGAGGGCTGGTGGGGGCTACTCAGAGATAAAAGCAATAAGCTCCAACACCCCCCCATCCCTCAATCCATTTTCTCCTGCCGCGTGCCTCCATCCCGTTCCTGAATAATTAAATGGGCTAGAGAGTAAATCGTCCCTAAACAAGGCAATGAAGAAAACAGGGGCCAGAAAGCAGTTAAGTACGGAAAGCAAGGAGAGATGAAGAGATTTCTTTTTTTTTGGAAGGGGGGAGGTCGTGTCGGGGAGGCGGGTGGGGGGTTTGGGGAACCAGGAGGCTGACACTAGAGACTCCCTGGCTCAGGACTGGAAGAAGACACAACGTGGGGAACAAAACCCACCCGCGCTGGAGGATCCCGGACCCACAGTCTGCAACGGAGGGAGTCCGAGGGGCCCCCAACCGAGCCCAGGGAGAGCCTGCCCGGCCCTAGCCACGGGCTGGAGCCGGGGGACAAGGAGGGGGTGACGTGGGGGAAGAGATGACAAAGGGGGCTTCGGCCGGGCTCGGGGGAGGAAAGGGGGTGGGTGGCCCGGGACGGCAGGGCAACCCGCCCGCCCCCCTCCCCCGGGGCCTGCCCAGGGAACAATGGGGGGACTAGGCTACCCCCTGCCGCTCACCTACCTCCGGTGCCCTCCGAGTTCTCGTTGAGGCTGCCCGAAGAGTCGTGCTGGGCGCCCACACACCCGCCCATGGGGGCGGCCTCGTCCGCCCGCCCGCCTGCCTCCTCCTCCTCGGTCGCCGCCGCCGCTGCAGCCGCCGCCGCCGAGGTCCGGGCAGGCGTGCTCGTGCTCGGCCTCCTCCGCCCCCCCCCACGCGCCGCGCCGCGCCCCGGCTCCGCTCCACCCACCGCCTTGGCTCGGCCCCTTCCTCGCCTCAGCCGCCCCCCAGCCCCCACCCCCCGGCTTCAGCCCCCGCCTCTCTGGCCCAGGCCCCCAACAGGCCCGCGCGCCCGCCGTCGGCGCCCCGACCCATGCCTGGCCGGAGCCCGAGCCCCCGCCCCCGCTGCCAGCCTCGCGCCTCCCTCACACGCAGCCCGAAGGCGGCCCTGCGAGTCGAGCTGGCCAGGGCCGGTCCCGCTTGCCCGGCCCCTTCGGCCCCGCCTAGCCCAGCCCGCCGGCCCGTCCGCGCGCCTGTCTGTCCGGCGGTCCGTCCATCTGTCAGTCAGCCGGTCACCCCGCCCTCTCGCGCCCGCCCTGCCCCGCCCTGCACCTGCCCCGCCCCGCCCCCAACCCGAGTGTGGCGGTGTCGCCGGAGGAGGGGGGGTGTGGCCGCGGGAGGTCAGCGCTCTGATTGGTAGCCCGAGCAGACGGAGAACGGGAGTGAGGGGAAGGGGGAAAGGCGAAGAGAACGCGAGGAGGAGAAGGGAAGGGGTCCGTGGGCGGTGAGGGTCTCAGGCCCGTCCTCTGAAGAGCAGTTGCGAGACTCTCACATTTCTCCTTTCGTTCTTCCGGGACGAAGTGTGTCTGGGAAAAAAAGCAACGGTGGAGGAATAAGAAGCAGAGGGATAGAAACTGGGATGACTAAACGAAGCTTCCCTCCACCCTTCCCCCCAACCCCCATCTCCCGTAATGCAGAGTAGTACCTTTTTTGAGCTAAGGGCATATGCCAAGCTAAGTCAGAGTTTGTGTCTGTATGCAGTTTGTGTGTTTTAGGAAAAAATCAATAGGTACTCTCATTTCCCAGTGGTCAAGGGGAGAAGAAGATACAAAGGAATGTTGCTGGCTCGAATGAGGTTGATAAGTGGTTTTAGTGTAATTCTTTTTTGCAGCCTGATTTCATCCTGCTAATCCATTATGAGCCTACTTTATTGTCCATCGGGAGTGCTGTGGTACTGATTGACCAAGTTCAATAGCCTCACTATCCAAATGCATACCATAGTCTGTACAATAGGCATTCCTCATCTACTTGGTTTTTCCTGTGTGGATAAATAGGCGAATCTGTTTTGTTTTGTTTTGTTTTTTTCTTATTTTTAAGAGAGTTAGATTGCATTTTTATTTGCATCAATAACTCTAAGCTTTTGAGCCAAATTCATGCCTGTATTTTAAACATCAAAATTCTATTGATACCATATGCTTGCAAATCATGCAATACCAACATCTCTAAGGAATAAAATCAATACAATGGGTTGTAGTTTATTAAAAACAAATAAATTTGAAGATTAAAGAACAGCATAGAAGATATCAAACAGCCTGGGAAAGGAGTTGGGACAATCATGTGGCAAAAGTGAAAGTTAGTATGTTAGATAGTTCAGTCACTTCCCTAGTTACCTAGAGAAAGATACCCAGAATGTTTGATAAACTCTCGAAAATGATTGTCAGAGGCTCTTGACTCATGGCTTTCTCTTGACTATTTTGTTGTTCAGTCATTTTCAGTCGAGTCTGACTCTGCCTGAATCCATTTGGGTTGTTGGGGTTTTGGGGGTTGTTTTTTGTTTGTTTGTTTTTTGGCAAAGATACTGGAGTGGTTTGCTATTTTTACAGATGAAGAGACTAAGGAAAACAGGATTAAGTGGACTTGCCCAGGGTCATTCAGCTAGTTAAGTATAGGAGGCTAGATTTTAACTCAGGAAGGCTACTTTACCACCTAGCTATCCTTGACTCTCTTTACCATAGCAGAAAATTATTATTCTATAGTAAGAAGACCTGGGTTCAGATTCTACTCCTGAATTTGGGCAAATTACAACCTCCCTGGAACTCTGTTTCCTCTTATGTAAAATTAGAGAGTTGAGCTACATGGCCTCCTGGTTCTCTTCCAGCTGCAGGTCTGGGTTCTGATCAGTAATAAAAGATCAGAAGGTGTAGTACCATTGGAGAAAGTACCCATATCAGTGAGAAATCATCCCAGTGAAGTAATTCCTTTTTCAATTGTTAAATTTTTCTGTTTTAATGAGGAGCTTGATTTTTCACAGATCTGACTCTTGCCTGTACCTAAAATTCACTTAGAACTGAATAAGGGAAAGAGATAAGCATTTATATTTAAACATAACACATACATATACATATATATATATACATATATACACTCTCCTTTGCAACCATATAGCCAATCAAGTACCAAATGTTGTCCCTTTCTATCTCCCGTGTATCTCTCCCAAACACCCCCTCTCTCCACTGATAGAGCCTCCATCCTAGCTCAATCCTTTATCACGTCATTACTTCTCTCTTACACTATTCCAAAAGCATCCCATTTGGCTATCCTCCGAGTCTCTTTCTATTCCAATCCATGTTCCATATGGCTGCCAAAATGATTTTCTTATAATTTGGGTCTCCCTGCCCCACCCCACACACCCCTTAATAAAATCTAGTGGTTCCCTATTACACTAGAATTAAATATAAGGTCCTCTTTTTGACATTTAAAGCTCTTCACTGCCTCTCCATGGTTTTTACATATTACTATCTTCCATATACTCTTTGTGGCCCAGCCATATTGATTCATTTGCTGTTCTTTCATTACCCTCCATCTCCTTTCTCTCTGCTATCCTTCATGCCTGGGGTGCTCTCTCTCTGTAGGGGATCTCTTGGAATCTCTGGTTTCCTTCAAGAACCAGTTCAAATGCTGCCGTTTCGAAGAGAATTTTTCTGAGCCCCTCTGCATCCCCCAGCTGCTAAGGCCTTTCTATGCAAGGTAATCTTTTGTCTGCTTTATATGTATGTCATACATGTACTTATATGTGTATCTAACATTAAGAAATACTCCTGGGCCCAGAGAGCTGAAGCACTGCATCCACTCTATCTCCCTAAGGGGCCAGTCTGCTCTTGATCCAGGCAAACTGATCTACTTCAATCCTGGGGGAGCCTGGTTTCTAATGAGGCTAGGCTCCATTTTCACACACTGTTTGACTTGTTTCCCCTCCCCACTCCAGAACCCCAGGGACAAATTATTTAAACCTTAGATTTTTGCCTCGCACCTAGGTCTCCCTACAGCAGAGGAATAAAAAGATGTTCAATGTGCAATGTAAATAAGGTATGAGACAGGAGTTTTTTTCCTCCATACAAAAGAATTATTGTAAACAGATAAATTTGCAGGCAAAAAAAACAGCCTAGAAGATATCTAAGATATGCTGGGAAAGAAGTTGGGACAATAATGAAGCAAGCATGAAAGGTAATATGTTGGATAGTTTGAATACTTCACTGGTAACCACACATTGTCAAGAAATCTAGAGAAAGAGACCCAGGACGGCCGAGACACAGACGTCTCACAGCACATATACAAAATGACTTAAAGGATGCAATAATTTAATGTATCACTACTGATACAATCTGCTGGGAGACTGATACTTAAACCTTGTCTAAATATGAAGCAGTTTGCAGGATTATTGACTAAGTATTTTCCATTTCTCTTCAGCTCTGTATGTTTTTCCGTGAAGTTCATGTCTTTTGCCAAGAAAGGGAATGGGGTCTTCCTCTTCTTAATCTTCACCAGTGCAGAAGCTTCCCTTGCTTCCAGTCAGCTCCACCCATGTAACTCAGGAACTCTGAACTTCCTCAAACTGATACGATCACCTCTAAGCCTGGCCATGCCCTCCTCAAGAGCAATGTTTGGTCACCTACTCAGTAAAGGTAACAAATGCAGAAAAAGCATCCAGGGGCCCAGGTACAAGCTCACCTATTTGAGTTCATGATTCATTGGCCAGAGAATCGGAGAAAGAGCATCTAGCCCATCTCTCCAACCTCTACACAAAGAGTTTATTGACAAAGAGCACCAATCACCCTCAAACAGGAGGGTCAAAGTAAGATGCATGAGTCAGAAGGTATCTCACTTCCGTAAAGGTTCATTGAGTTGTCTGTTCCTCCAGCTCAGCAACCATTGAAGAGATCACTTTGTCATTTCAAAGAGCCTTTGTCCTTAAGCACTGGGATATGTTCTGTCAGATTATCCCCAGGTGCTAAAGCCAGTACCTGTAGCAGGCTAGAATAAAGAAGGGCAATTGAATTCCATGAGACTGCTCTCTTTACACATGCGTGTTGTCTTTCCTATTATAATATATGGTCTTTGAGGACCGAGATTGTTTGGCATTTTTCTTTCTATTCCTAACACAAAGCTTGACATATAATAAGAGATCAATAAGTGCCTGTTGATTGATTAACCAATTTTGGTGATGTTGTTATTGACTCATATATACCCTTGTCTATTTCTTTTCAACTCTATTCTACATCTTCCAGTTATGATGTTTTTAAATTTTAACCATTATACTTGGGTTTCTAAAACTTCACTAAGGAACCATTTTAAACTATATCCTCATTATTTTACCAAAAAGGTGTGTGTGTGTGTGTGTGTGTGTGTGTGTGTGTGTGTGCCTGTGTCTGTGTCTGTGTGTGTGCCTCTTGGATTAGCTTTTGCTTTTTGAGACACTAAAAATATTTCTGGATGAAAATCTTCAATAGGAGAGCCTGTGCCTTGTGGCCTGCAGCTTAGAATCTGCACATTCATCTTGTAATAGAGAGACTCCTCAAAAGAAGAGAAAATTTAATTTTTCTGAAGAATATTTAGCACCCTGAATTATGATCATAAACACCTTGCAGAGATTGCAGCAAACTTTCATTTGCATTTCAAGAAAGCTTAAATATAATCTTAAATTATGTGAGTTTTTGTGAGAGAGCACTGAGAATTGAGAGCTATGTAACAAAGCCTTTGATTTGTTCATTCTCAACTCTAAATTCTTCTTAGAAAACAGAGATCAAGTCCCTGAAGGAGAAGAAGCTGTATGCTGATTT